AAGTGCCAGGGAGTGCAATTGCGCACCTCCTGTCTTTCGCCAAAAGTGCCGGGAGCGCTTTATTTTAACATTATATGTTTTGTTCAAATTTTTTTCTACTAGTATTTTATAATACAATCAGCAAACAATATGTGTCAAAGATGAAAGCAAATGTAGTAAAGGTTTCCTTAAGTTTTTGAATATGTAACTTCATTTACTTGCGATTCGTAATTTTTTTCCTAAACTGCTGTAAAATCAGCAAAAATGCCTTGGCAATTTTAGCATAGTTCCTAGGGTATTGGTTGGCACTCCAAGAGTTAAGAAGTATCTCAAGACCTTCCCCATTGTTTTTCCTGTCTGCTTTTCTCTGGAATGTCTAGTTTACTCACAAAGCCGTCTCATCAGTACGGTGACTCATGGCCTTTTTCCAAAGGAAGTACAGAGGCGAAGCCAGACTGCCTTGGCCCTGAATCAAGGATGAGTGGTCCAATGGACCCCTGCCAGTTACTGGCTGCTATACACACAGACTTCGATCCCAAGACACCAAGCCTCGCTGTGCTCAGAGAATCTTCTAAAACAAATATAAGCGTTTTCACTATTCTGACCTTGGTGTCCTGTTGAGGCTATCAAGGACTTGGCTCACGTTATCCTGGGAAAACGAGACTCAGTGCTTGGAAGGTAGCAGATGGCATGGACCCAACCACTGCTGTGCTGAACAGATCTTCTACTTGCAGAGACTTCTGCTGAGATCTTCAGCCCAACATATTCATTGTATCTCTCAGCTCAGAGTTTCAGCAATATCTCCATGGTCTTATGACCATGCTTGCTACTAAAACATTCAAGGATGTCACTTTGGGTTCTCAGTGCATGACTTCCTAATCTCCCAAAAACTGGTTTGATTCCCAGTCAGGGCACATGCCGGGGTGCGGGCTTGATCCCAAGTAGAGGGCATGCAGGAGTTAACTTAGTGATGTTTCACTCTCATTGATGTTTCTATCTCTCTATCCCTCTTCCTTCCTCTCTGTAAAAAATCAAATAAAAAAAAAAATCAATAAAAATATATTTTTAAAAAATCCATCTGATCTAGTGTGTCATTTAAGACCACCCTTTCCTTGTTGATTTTCTGTCTGGAAGATCTATCCATTGATGTCAATGGGGTGTTAAAATACCCTATTACCATTGTGTTACTGTCAATCTCTCTTTTTATGTCTACCAAGAATTGCTTTATATATTTAGGTGCTCCTATGTTGGAGGCATAAATGTTTACAAGGGTTATATCCTTTATCATTATGCAGTGTCTTTTTTTTTATCTTACTATAGGCTGTGTTTTAAAGATTATTTTGTCAGATATGAGTATTGCCAACCCAGCTTTTTTCTTTCTTTCCATGTGAATGAAATAATTTTTTTCCATTCCTCTCTTTTACTCTGCATGTGTCTTTCTTTCTGAGGTGAGTCTCTTGTACACAGCATATATAGAGTCATTTTCGTGTCCATTCACCTCTTCTATGTCTTTTTATTGAAGCATTTAAGCTATTTTTTTTAATTTCTACTTCTTAAAGAAGACCCTTTAGCATTTATTGTAATACTGGTTTGGTGGCAATGAGCTTCTTTAGCTTTTTCTTGTCTGGGAAGCTCTTTTAATGTTTTTGGTTCTAAATGATAGCATTACTAGGTAGAGTAGTTTTAGCAGTAGGTCCTTGCTTTTCATCACTTTGAATTTATTGTGCCAATCCTTTCTGGCCTGAAATATTTCTGTTGAGAAATCAACTGACAGTCTAATGGGAGCTCCCTTGTAGTTAACTGTCTTTCTCGTACTGCTTTTAAGATTCTCTCTTTGTCTTTTACTTTTGCATTTTTATTTATGACTAGGGGCTCGGTGCACAAAGATTTGTGCATGGGGGTGAGGGGGACGGAGTCCCCTCAGCCCAACATGCACCCTCTGTCACGTTCCGGGACCCCGGCCGCTCGGGCCTAGGTGTGGGTCTACAGGCTCGGGGTGGCCTGGCTCCCGAGGATGCCTGTCCCAGGGACACAGGCCTTTTGGTGCTGGCGCACGCTCAAGCGGCCATAGAGCGAGAACCTCTGCTGGCACCTGCCCACGCACTACAGTGGGGCGGAAGCCATGGTGATGCGGGGGAAGCCCCAGGCCCCACCCCCAACTTCCATGCACACCACCCCAACCCCAGCTCCCCGGTGCCTGCACACGCACAAGCAAGCTGCCGTGGGGTGGGAACTTCCCCAGCATCTGACCCCATATCCCCAGCACCTGCGCTTGCGAGCCAGTCAAGCAGGAGCTTCCCCTGCATCACCATGGCGACACGGGGGAAGCTCCCACCTCCAGCTGCTACAGCTGGGTTTGCCCTCCCGCTCCCAGACCCTGCGGCTGGGTTTGCCCTCCCGCCTCCCGTCTCCGCAGCCTTGGCTCTGTTCCTGTCTCTGCTACCTCTACTTTGCTCCCTTCTGTAGCGCTTTGCTGCCACATTGTCTGAAGTCTTTGCTCTCAGCCGGTATGGTATATGCAAATTAACCACCATCTTTGTCAGTGGTTAATTTGCATATTGTGCTGATTAGCCAATGGGAGGCATAGCAAAAGTATGGTCAATTACCATGTTTGTCTATTATTAAATAGTATGTGTCTTGGTGTAGGCCTCTTTGTGTTCATCTTGTTTAAGGCTCTCTATGCTTTCTAGGCTTGTGTGTCTTTTAACCAGGTTAGGAAAATTTTCAGTCACTATTTCTTCAAATAGGTTCTCGATCCTTTGTTCTCTCTTTTGTCCTGGTACCACTATGATGTGGATATTGTTATGTTTCATGTTGTCCCAAAGGACACTTAATCTACCTTCATTTTTTAAAATTTGTTTTGTTGTTGTTGCTCTGATTGGGTGTTTCCTTCTACCTTATCTTCCAAATTACTGACTCAATCTTCTGCTCACCCAACCTACTGTTATTCCTTCTAGAAGATTTTTCATTTCAGATATTGTATTCTTCATTTCTGACTGGTTCTATTTCAAGGTTTCTATGTCCTTCTTATGTTTACTATCTCTTTAAGTTCTCATTGATTTCATCCATTCTCCTAACTTCTTTGCACATTCTATAACCTTTAAACTCTATATCTGGTAAATTACTTGCCTCCATTTTATTTAGCTCTTTTCCTTGAGATTTCTTCTATTCTTCTATTTGGGGCATGTTTCTTTGTCTCCCCACTTTGGCTGCCTCTTCATGTTTGTTTCTATGTGTTAGATAGATCTGGTATTACTCCAGTCTTCATAGGGAAGCTTCACAGGGTGGGGCCACAGGGAGTTTGGAGGGTGGGGCTGTTGCAATCCTTCAGGATGATGCTGTGTGGAGAGGAGTCTTTTACCCAAGAAAGATGGCATCTGTGGTGTGAGAGAGGAACTCAGAACAAGGATGCTAGCCATGGTCCCTTCCACATTCTCCCTGGAGACACAAACACCAGTCTCTCCTCAAAAAACTCTGGGCCCCTCTGCCCTCTCTCTTCTGGAGCCCAGGGTGAGTGACTACAGAAGAGATTTTGTATGCTCTCCCTTTAAGAAAGTGCCTGATCTCTAGTAGGCTCTCAGCTATCCCTGGTGGACAGAATCCCCACTGTTTTCACAGCCAGATATATCTGGCTGTTTCTTCCCAGCTCTGTGCTCTGAGCTGGAATGGATGGCATGAGGTTGAGACCCTACATTCCTCATGGGGAACCTTTGCTACTGAGCTATCCCTTCAAAATATATCACCACCTGTGGAAGCCAGGTGAGCCCTTTTCATGTTTCTGCCCTTCCTACCAGTCTCTATGTGGTTTCTATATATCCTTGGTATCATTTTAATGATGTTGACTTGAAATAATTAAATCCTAAAACAAATATATGAAAATCATATATTCAATAAAGTACAGTATAGGGAGTATCCTATATAATAAAAGCCTAATATGAAAATTGGCCGAATGGCAGAATGACAGGTGGAACAATTAGCCGCTATGATGTGCACTGACCACCAGGAGGGAATATGCTCAATGCAGGAGCTGCCCCCAGCCTGCAGGCCCCAGGCCAGCCAAGGCAGGTGCCAGCGGGGCCCCCTGATCACCCTGCTGGTGGCCCCACAGAGGGAGGTTACTGGCGGTGATGCTGAGGGGTGGGGCCAGCTGGCGAGCAGGTGGCAGCAGGGGGCGGGGCCAGCCAGCAAGTGGGCTGGTGCCACCCCCCAATTGCCTTGCTGATTGCCTTCTGCAGAGGGAGGCAAATGGCAGCAGTGGAGGGGTGATTTTGGGAGTGGGGCTGGCAAACAGGCAGCACCAGGCCTGCCAAGGCAGGTGCCAGCAGGGGCTTCCTGATCGCCCTGCCGGTTGCCCCACAGATCAGCCCTCATCGCTGGCCAGATGTAGGGACCCTACCCGTGCATGAATTTCATGCACCAGGCCTCCAGTAGTCAATAATCTTGAGATAACTATGTCAGGTTCCAGGATACTAGAAATATAGAGAGAGGAACACTTTGTAAAGTATATGATTATTTAATTACTATGCTATATACCTGAAACTAATACAAAATAACACAGAATGTAAACTCTAATTGAAAAATAGAATTTCTTAAAACAATAAAAACCATGTACTTAATAATTAATATTTTATTTTTGTTCCTAAAAATTTTACTCAATAAGACCATGAGAAGGAACACTTTTATCTTACAAGGGACAAATTAAATTTTGATTTCTGCCATGAACATAGTATTTGCCTTTCAATAAAAATAAAAAATAAAAACATTTGTCTATAATGGTTAACATTTTTAAAGAGCTTATAAGTTTACTTTACACAATGTTATTTTAGTCATAGAATAGTAATAAATAATTTATAGACAGAAGCATGAACAAAAAAAAATATGCTTTGCAACACTCTAAAAATATGTTATCTAATAACAAAGAAAAATGATTGTGAGCTTCTGAATGAAGAAGAAAAACTAAGAAACATACCTGAGGCACTGAACATATATTATTATTGTAAATGTTAATATTTATGGCCTGCTGTGAAGGCATAGTAAAAAAATAAGTTTTAATAAAGTTTGAAACAGACAACCATTTAAATATCTCAACAATTTAAATCATTATAAATTCAAGAATTTCTTTTCTTCTAAATTTTTACTTCAAATAATAGTGAAGGCAACAATTTATAAACAGGCATTCATGAGTACAATACATCTTATACATAATAAATGTTAATGGAGTCATCTACTATTCTTCTGTAAGCATTCCTATTGTCTTTCTACTGCTATCAATTGTAGGGGTGGAAGGACTAATTAAAAAAAGATAAATATATCTGCCATTAGGACAGACCTCTGACAGCAGAAGCTCATTGGTAAGATATATAAATACAGAATCACTGTGTTGCACGCCTGAAACAAATATAATATTGTATGTCAACTATACTTCAATAAAAACTAATTAATTAGAAACAAGAATTTGAATGGTTTCTCAACATTCTTGCCTGTAATTTTTGTGGCAATACTCTGTGCTCTACATTGTCCTATGGCCATGTTAATCTTTCATTGCAATGCATTTTCTTAGTTCAGCTGCAGTTTTTTCTAGTTGTTGAATGTTCCACTGCCATTGCTTTCTATTTGACTGAAGCTTGTTCAGCTGACAATGCAAACGCTTAAGAATTGCACCATATCTCTTATTTTGTACCTATGAAAAGAAGAAGACACATCAACAGGGCTTTACTTGACGCTTATTATATGTTAGTGTTCTGAGAGCCTTTTACATATAATTAAATTCTCATTACACCTTATGTTGTGCATATTATGATACCCATTTTTTGTAAAAGGAAACAAAAGATAAGGAGAATAAGTGATTTGACTAAGTTTTCAGAATAAGCAAGTGATGATGTTTGAGATTTGAATCCAAATAAAACATCTGTAATGAAGTGCTTTCTACTTATTAAGCAGTTACCAGTTAAGAGTAATTTTTTTTTCTGTATCTAGTTGTTCACTGAAACAGATTAATTGATCTAAAAGTTCTATATAATGTCCAATTCCTTGTCAGTAAGTAGATCATTGTGTATGTTGAGCCAGACAATGTGACACTGGAAGGCAATGAAGCACGGTAAAAAGTATAAGGGTTGTGGTGTCCGGGCACAAGAAAGCAAAAACATCATCATAATTCCTGAGATTAGTGTTGGCTCTACAAATAACTTTTTTTAACAGTTTTGTTGACATGCCATACAATCCACCCTTTACACTGTACCATTTAATGGATTTTAGTATATTCACAGGGTTTAGCTATCACCACAACCAATTTTAGAACATTTTCAATAGCCCAAAATGAAATCTGGTACCCATTAATAGTGACTCCGCATTTCCCCATCCTACCCTTAGCACTAGGCAACTACTAATCTACTTTCTCTTTATATAGATTTGCCTATTCTGGACATTTTATAAAGTGGAATCATTTAATATGTGGTCTTTTGTGACTGGCTTCTCTCACTTAACATAATGTTTTTAGGGCCATCCATGTTTTAGCGTGCATCAGTACTTCATTTCCTTTTATTGCCAAATAATATTGCATAATATACTACATCTTACTTACCCATTTTATCAGTTAATGAGTATTTCACCTGCAGCCACTTTTTGTTTATTATGAATAAAGCTGCTATGAACATTCATGTACAAGTTTTTGTGTGGTCATGTTTTCATTTCTCTGGGGTTTATACGTAGGAGTGAAATTACTGGGTCATATGGTAACTCTATATTTAACCATTTGAGGAACTGACAGACTGTTTTCCATTTTTACATTCCCATGATCAATATGTGAGGGTTTGAATTTCTTCACATCCTTGAAAATACTTATCTGTATTTTTTATCATAGCCATTTAGTGGGTGTGAAGTGGTATTTCATTGTAGTAAAACACCCACTTTTATTATTTTTTAAATGTGTCTTTATTGTCTAAAGTATTACAGATGCTCCCCTTTCCTCCATTAAACCCTTCTACCCTTCTCCTGCCCCACCACCCAGGCCTTCACTGCACTATTGTCTGTGTCCATGGGTTACGCATATATGCATATATGTTCAAACCAGTTGATAGAATAATGGTGCTGAGAACTTTTCTCTTCATTCTTACATATATTAGAGAATGCTCTAGTAAGTCTGGTGGGTGGTTCTAAGTCACTTTAAATAGGGGTCAATTTGTCAAAATACCAATTCACCAAATTAGTCAAAATAACCTGTCAAAAGTAAATTTATAGCCTGGGAGACAAGGCTCTGAATTTCTGTCCCTGACCTGACTCCCTTTTCTCTCTCTCAGCTGTTATTGGGGCCCAGATTGTACTACATGCTGAATCTTATCAATTTCTTCCCCAGGAAAACTTCCCCTCTTTCTTTCCCAGCTCCTCCCTAGTGCAGGGCTTTTTATTTTTTTTACCTTTATTTTGCCATGGATCATTTTTACAGTATGGTGAAGACTACAGACTCCTCAGAATAATGCTTTTAAATGCATAAAACAAAACATACAGGATTACAAAGGAAAGCAATTGTATTGAGGCATG